TTCTCCAAAATATCTGCATGGCTCCCTCCTCATTACATAATATCAGTGATGCCTTCCTGAAAAACACTTGTTTTGAATTGTTTTCTGCCCTCACTGATCCTGGCAGACTATTCTGTTTCACTGCATTTTATTTTTCTCCTTAGTGCTCCTTACTGATGTCTATCTCCTCCAAGTAAAATGTTAGCTCCATAAAGACAAGGAGTTATATCTTTTTTTTCCCTCCACTTCTGTATCCCTAAGTAGCTAGAATATCACATGGCATATATTAGGTACACAAAAGGTATTTTTTGAGTTAATTAATGTAGTGGAAAAAGAATAAAGAAGTTCAAATGGCATTCTAGTAAAGGAAGACAGAAATAAAGGCATATACATTGTGATATTTTAATACAATGTGTAATGATTAGCTCAGGATAATTGGCATGTCTGTCATCTCAGACATTTATCATTTCTTTGGTAGCTATTTTGAATATTCAACTTACTGTTATTAAACCTATTTATCCTACTGAGCTATGGAACATTAGAGATTATTCCCCCTCTCCAATTGGGCTCCTGTACCTCTTAACCAGCCTCTTCTCATTTTCTACTTCCCTACCCCAGGGTCTTGTAACCACTGTTCTATTTTCTACTTCTATGAAATAAACTGTTCAGCTTCCTAATTGAGAACAAGAGATACTTGCCTTTCCGCACCTGGCTTATTCCACTTGATCTAGCAGCAGTTCCATGCTGCTGCAAATGATGGAATTTCATTCTTTTTGATGACTGAATAATTTGTGTGCATGTGTATGTGCACGCACAATTTGTCTTTATCCATTCATCCATTGATGGACGCCTACTTTGATTTCATATCTTGACTATTATAAATAATTCTGCAATATGCATGTGAGTGCAGATGTCATTTCTACGTACTGATTTTATTTCCTTTGACTATTTACCCAGTAGTAAGAATGCTGGATCATAGGATAGTTATATTTCTAGTTTTTTAAGGCGTTTCTATACTATTTTCCACTATGGCTACACTAATTATTATTCCCTCCATGTATGAGAGCTCCTTTTTGTCTACATCCTTACCAGTGTTTGTTATTTTTTATCTTTTTGATAATAGCCACTCTAACTGGGGTAAGCTGATAACTCATTGTGGTTTTGATTTGCCACTTAGTGATGTTTAATACATTTATTGGCTATTTGAGTCATTTGCCCATTTTCTAATGGAATTTTTTGTGTTGTTTGAGTTCCTACTTATGTATTCTGGATTTAATCACTTGTCAGATGAATAGTTTGCTAATATTTTCTCCCACTCTGAGGGCTGTCTTCACTCTGCTGATCATACAGAAGCTTTTTGATTTGATACCCCATTTGTCAATTTTTACTTTTGTTGCCTGTTTTGGTGGATCATATCCAGAAAAATCTTTGCCCACACTAATGTTCAGAAGTCTTTGTCTTATGTTTTCTTCTACTAGTTTCATAATTTTAGGTCTTACATTTAAGTATTTGATTCAATTTGAGTTGATTTTTGAACCTTGGTATTTCTGTGATGGCAGTTTGTAAGGTCTCTTTCATCTTTGATTTTTTTTGAGTCTTCTCTCTTTCTCAGATACACACACACACACACACACACAGTTTCTCATTGTGCTGGTCAGGCTGGTCTTGAACTTGGGGGCTCAAAAGTGATCCTCCTGCCTCAGCCTTCCAAGCAGCTGGAACTACAGGCATGTAGTTCCATGCCTGACTTTTTTTGGGGAGAGGTGTGTTGTTGATTAGTTTAGCTAAATTAGGATTGTTAATTTTATTTACCTTTTCAAAAGCTAATTATTTGCTTCATTGAATTTTATATCTTTTCAGTCTATTTTATTTCTAGTCATATCTTTGTTATTCTTTTCCTTCTAGTTTGGGGTTTGGTTTGTTCTCGCTTTTCTTGTGTATTTTTGTTGTTTTGGTTTGGTTTTTTGGTGATACTGGGGCTTGAACTCAGGGCCCCATGCTTGCTAGGCAGGCACTCCACCACTTGAGTCACTCCATCGGTCCTTTGTTCTTGCTTTTCAACTTTATTGAGTTGTATAATTAGATTATTTGAATTTTTTTTTTCCTTTTTTTTTTTGATGTTGGCACTTTTATGACCTCTCTTAGTACTGCTTTTTCTGTGTTGCATAGGTTTTGGTATGTGTTGTTTTCATTTTCCCCTCCTGATTTCATTGACCATTCAAGAGAATGCTATTTAATTTACATGCATTTGTGCAGTTCTAAAATTCCTCTTGTTAATTTCTAGTCATATTCCATTGTGGCTAGAGAAGATACATGGTATGATTTTGATGTCTTTGATTTGTTGAGACTTGTTTTGTGGCCAAATTATGGTCTATCCTGCAGCTGTTGGATCACTTATTCTGAGAACATCTGTTAGCTTGGTCTACATTATAGTTTAATTGAAATATTTCTTTGTTAATTTTTTAGTCTTGATGACCTATTAATGAAAATGTGTTGAAAATCTCTAGGAGTTACTGTATTAGTCTGTCGCTCCTCTTAGATCTAATAATGTTTGCTTTATATAATTGGGTACTCCAGTGTTGGGTACATACATATTTATATTTGTTATTATCTCTTGCTGAATTGATCCTTTTGTTATTATATTATGGCATTCTTTGTCTCTTACTTTTTTTGTTGTTGTTGTTTTGGCGGCACTGGAGTTTGAACTCAGGGCCTCACGTTTACAAGCTTGCTAAGCAAGTGCTCTTAACACTTCAGCTACTCTGCAAGCCCTTTTTCTGATTTTTTTTTGAGATAGGGTCTCACAAACTATTTGTGCCGAAAGCTGGCTTCAAACCACGATCTCCTGTTCTCTCTCTCCTTAGTTGCTAGGATTGTAGATGTGAGCCACCAGTGCCTGGCTTTGTTACCATTTTTTAAAAATTAAAGTCTGCTTTATCTGATATAAGTGTAGCTGTTCCTGCTTGCTATTGGATTTCATTTGCATGGTATATCTTTTTCTGGTATAACTCTTAGTTTCAGTCTCTGTGTTTATTGGTAAAGTGAGTTTCACGTAGGCAGCACATCACTGGGCCTAGTGTTAGCTATTCAGTAGACTATATCTTTTAATTGGATTTAATCCATTTATATTTAGTGTTATTACTGATAATTAAAGACATACTCCTGCCATTTTTTTTTTCTGGTTGTTTTGAATAGTCTTTGTTCCTTTCTTCCCCACTTGTTGTTCATCTTTCTGGTTTCGTAATTTCCTGTATTGGTAAGGTTTGATTTCCTTTGTCTTTTGTGTATTTCATGTACTAGTGAGTCTTGTCCTTTCATATGTTTCATTATAGTAGTTTATCCTTTCACTTCCAGTGAAGAACCCCCTTAAGCATTTCTGGTGGTAATGAATTCTATCAGGTTTTGCTTGCATTGGACTTTTTCACTTTCATTTCTTTAGATATCTTTTATGGGCATAGTATTCTTGGTTGGCAGGGGGGTTTTGTTGAGTTTTTTTTGGTTTTCCTTCAAGACTTTGAATATTTTATCCCACTCTCCTGGCCTATAAAATTTCTGTTTAGAAGTCTGCTATCAGTTTAAAGAAGGTGACTTCATATTTTTCTCTTGCTTTTTTTCAATTCTTTGTTTTATTCTTCTGACAGTTTGACTATACTATGTTTTGGAGATGATTTTTGTCAGTTTCATTTATTAGGAGTCCTTTGAGCTTTCAGGGCCTGAATAACCAAATCTTTCCCAAGATTTTAGCAGGTATTTCATTAAATAGGCTTCCTATGCCTTTCCCCTTCTCTTCTCCTGACCAAAATGCAAAATACTCACTTGATGGAATCCTGTAAATCTTGAAGGCTTTCATCATTCTTTTCATTATTTATTTACATTTCTTGTTTGCTTCTTTTCATTTTGATTGTATTAGAATTTTTAACGCAAGGTCTTAAACTTGACAGGCAGGTGTTCTGTCACTTGAGTCATGCCCTCAGCCCTTTTTGCTGTAGTTATTTTTCAAATAGAATCTTACATTTTGCCCAGATCAGCCTAGACCACTGTCCTCCTATTTTATACCTCCCATATTACTGGGACAACAAGTAGGCACCACTCTACCTAGGTTACTGGTCTATATGATCTTGCTAACTTTTGCTCATGCTGGCCTCAAACCATGATCCTCCCAATCACTTCTCCTGAGTAGCTGGAATTATAGGCATAAACCACCAATCCTGGCTTGTTTGGTTCTCATGATCTCTGTTTACTGAATTTCTTAACTCATATCATGAATTGTCTTCCTGAAATGAACCAAGCCTTGTATGCACATATGAATAATAAAAGAAAAATGAAAAAAAAAATGAATTGTCTTCCTGATTTCATTGACTTGTCTGTTTGTAGTAAGTTTCCTTTAAAAAAAATTTTTTTATGGTACTGGAGTTTGAACAGGTGCTCTACTGCTTGAACCACAGCACCAGCAAAAAAAATAATTTATTTTGAATTATTTATCAAGCATTCTTCAGTTTCCTTTTCCTTGGAGTTTGTTGCTAAAGAAGTTGGATCACAGTTTGGTCAGTATTTGTGTATCTGGCCAATCATTTTCCTCAACCCATTTTATAGGATAGCTTTTGTACCCTTTGCCCAGATCAGCTTAGACTACAGTCCTCCTATTTATGCTTCCTGCCATGCCTGGGATGACAGGTGTGTGGCACCATACCAAATTTTTTTCCATTGAGATAGGGTCTTGCAAACTATTTGCCCAAGCTAGACTGGAACCACCATCCTCTTGATCTCAGCCTCCCAAGTGGCAGGATTACAGGTGTGGGCCACCAGCACCCAGCTCATAATTTTTTAATTTCTTCTTTGCCTTATTATAACATAAATAATCATGAAATATTTCCCAGTTTTCACATATTCTATTTTATTTAAATTAATTCACTTTCTTCTTTTCATAAGGATCAGTACTTCAACTTCTACATAGAATCTCAGGACCTTCCTAAACAGAAGTAAAATGTTGATTTCACCATACTAATCTTGTTCTATTTCAGATTTGGTGTGAAGAAGAAACCAATTTACATTAATGTCATAAGGGATCCTATTGAGAGGCTAGTTTCTTACTATTACTTTCTGAGGTTTGGAGATGACTACAGACCAGGATTAAGGAGAAGAAAACAAGGAGATAAAAAGGTAATATTTTAGCTTTAAGATTTTCATAGAGACAGTAGTTTGCTAAGAGCAATGGACAGTGTGCTTTTTAAATTCATTACTGATTGTGAATGTACTGCTTGCTTATTGTGATAAAAAGTACCCCAAAGTATGTAGAAGCAAAAATAAAACCACTAATATAGTTGATACCTTGTAAGATATGTAATTTTTGTGATTTTAAAAATATTTTTCTTCTGTTTTAGGACTGAATATTTACTTTACTATTGTCCTGTTAACAACTTTCGAGGAGACCATTATAGTAATTTATTAATGTGATTCATTTTCATACATATGTTGGTTCTCTTAGTGTTAATGGTGGTAATTTATATTTACTTACAGTCATCAGTTAGGGATACTATTTTACTAAAACAGCTATTTTTTTCGGCAAAGAGAGAATAATGGTTCAATAAAGTTTGGATCAGGTTCATATTCTACTTGTCTTTCACTTCAGTGCATCCTTTAGAGTATCACCAAAGTTGTGTTTCTAACAATATTGATTTTTCACTTTTCTGATGGAACACCTTTACTGGGATCTCATTGCTCACAAAATTACCCAAGGCATAAGGAGACACAATCTGACATGATGTGACATCTGCCTCTCCTGCCTAATTTTCCCCCACACATCTAGCCCAGTGCTTCTGCCACATGAATGTGGCCTAAACTTGCTACTGCTTCATAGTTTTTGCATACATGTTATTTCCTCATACTTAGGATGCCAGTTTCTCTGGAAAACTCTTTGTTTACCTTTAAGATCTAGCTGCAAGTTATCTATTCCATAAAGTCTTTTCTGTTGCTCCAGGCAGTCACAGCTTTCAAGGCTCCCTGAGTACTACATTCAAATCTCTGTTTTTAAACATTTTACTTTATGGCATTTGGGTTATCTGTTTACATATTGTCTCCCCCAGAATGTGGTGAACTTTCTGAAGTATATATTTCATTCATCGTTGAGTCCCTGGTATTTACCATAGTGCCTAGTTTACCTGTAAGAACTTAATAAATGGCTGAATGTGTGATTCAGACATTTGAAACATAGTGTTGCACAGTGCAGATGCTAGATTCATGGCATATTATGATAATCAGTGGCCAAAAATTTTTTTCTGAATTAGATGTTGCCTCTTTGTCACATTGGAGCACAATGGTGTTTTTGTTGTTGTTCCTTATTGGTTTTCCTTTTTTGTGTTTTGTAGAAACTGCTGCTTCCTTCCTCAGTCTCAAAACTTTAGGTAGAAAGTACTGATCCAAGCATAGATAAATGCCCACATTCATCTATCTCTCAGCATTACTTCATCTTCTAAAAGGGATTTTGTTACAAAGATTCTGCAAAATTTGGAGATGTCTATTAACATTACTCTTTTTTGACCTAGTACTTCAGAATTTGGCCTTTATTTTAAATTCACTTTAGACTGAATTCCAAGATGGCGGCTAGAGGTAGGAAGCAGAAAGCGAGCCTCCTATAGTGAAATCTTGGAGAGACGCTGGAGACACACTTTGCAGGCATAATCACCGAGAAAAGGCATAACTTTGACTCCTCCACATCTCCAGCCGGCGCAGAGAATCTCCACTTCACGTTAAACGGAGAACCGAGGAGGCCCCCGGGCCGCCAGTGGCCGGCGCCATTACGGCTTGGAGACCGCGACCAGTACAGGGACAGTAACAACACCAAGGACAATGACAGGAAGACAGAAAAAACAAGGAAACCAGTTTCCCCACAGCAAAAAATTAGTACAGGAACCAGAGGGGAATGAAGAGAACAGAAACTCAGAGCCAGACTCCAACAAAATGAAGATAAACTATGCCAAAGGACCCAATGAAGCCTACAAGAATAATTTAAAAGAAGACATACTACAAGTACTCAATGAGAATTTTATAGAGATGATACTGGATAGGGTCAACCAAAATGTACAGGAGACACTCAAGAAATTCCAAGACAATAAAAATAGAGAATTTGAAAAAGCAAAAGAAGAAATAAAGGAAACCATAGAAGCACTGTATAAACACCAAAGTGAAAGAGAGAACACAATGAATAAATGGATAAATGAACTCAGGACAAAAATAGACAACAATAAAGAAGAAAACAGCCAGGATATGGAAAACCTCAGAAAAAAGAACGAAACAGAACTGCAAAACAAAACGGAAGGCCAATCCAGCAGAATAGAACAAACAGAAGACAGAATCTCAGAACTTGAAGATGAAATGGTAATTAAAGGAAAAACCGAAGAACTATTAATTAAACAACTCAAGACCTGTGAAAAGAAAATGCAAGAACTCACCGACTCCATCAAAAGACCAAACTTGAGAATCATGGGCATCGAAGAAGGAGAAGAGGTGCAAGCGAAGGGAATGCGTAATATATTCAACAAAATAATAACGGAAAATTTCCCAAATCTAGAGAAAGATATTCCCATACACATGCAAGAGGCCTCCAGGACACCAAACAGACCAGATCAAAATAGAACTACTCCACGACATATCATCATTAAAACAACAAGTTCAGAAACTAAGGAAAGAATATTGAAGGCTGCAAGAGAGAAAAAACAAGTAACATACAAAGGTAAACCCATCAAAATCACAGCAGACTTCTCAACAGAAACATTAAAAGCAAGAAGAGCGTGGGGTGAGATCTTCCGGGCACTGAATGAAAATAACTTCAACCCCAGGATACTCTACCCAGCAAAGCTATCATTCAAAATAGATGGAGCAATAAAAGTCTTCCATGATAAGCAGAAACTAAAACAATATGTGACCACAAAGCCACCATTACAAAAGATTCTGCAAGGGATCCTGCACACAGAAAGTGACACCCAACTTAACCATGAAAAGGCAGGCAGCACCAAACCACAGGATAAGAAAAAGCAAGACAGTAGAGAGTAACATCAAGTTAGGTACACACAATCAAACCTTCAAACAACTAAGATAACTAAATGGCAGGAATCACCACATACCTATCAGTACTAACACTTAATGTTAATGGACTTAATTCACCCATCAAAAGACACCGTTTGACAAAATGGATTAAAAAAGAAGATCCAACAATTTGTTGCTTACAGGAGACTCATCTCACCGACAGAAATAAGCATATGCTTAGGATGAAAGGCTGGAAGAAGATTTACCAAGCCAATGGCCCCGAAAACAAGCAGGAGTAGCAATACTTATCTCTGACAAAGTAGACTTCAAACCTACATTGATCAAACGAGATAAAGAAGGACATTCCATACTAATAAAAGGGGAAATAGACCAAAAGGAAATAATAATCATCAATCTGTACGCACCCAATGTCAACGCACCCAATTTCATCAAACATACCCTGAAAGACCTAAAAGCATATATAAACGCCAACACAGTGGTTGTGGGAGACTTTAACACTCCATTATCATCAATAGATAGGTCATCCAAACAAAACTCAATAAAGAAATCCAAGATCTAAAATATGCAATAGATCAATGGACCTAGTAGATGTCTACAGAACATTTCATCCAACCTCTACACAATATACATTCTTCTCAGCAGCCCATGGAACCTTCTCCAAAATAGATCATATCCTAGGGCACAAAGCAAGCCTCAGCAAATATAAGAAAATAGAAATAATACCATGCATACTATCTGACCACAATGCAGTAAAAGTAGAACTCAACAACAAAAGTAAAGACAAAAAACATGCAAACAGCTGGAAACTAAATAACTCATTACTTAATGAAGAATGGATCATCGATGCAATAAAAGAGGAAATTAAAAAGTTCCTGAAGTCAATGAAAATGAAAACACAACCTACCGAACCTATGGGACACAGCTAAGGCAGTCTTGAGAGGAAAGTTTATAGCCATGAGTGCATATATTAAAAAGATTGAAAGATCCCAAATCAATGACCTAATGATACATCTCAAACTCCTAGAAAAACAAGAACAAGCAAATCCCAAAACAAATAGAAGGAGAGAAATAATAAAAATAAGAGCTGAAATCAACGAAATAGAAACCAAAAAAACCATACAAAGAATTAATGAAACAAAAAGTTGGTTCTTTGAAAAAATAAACAAGATCGATAGACCCCTGGCAAACCTGACTAAAATGAGGAGAGAAAAAACCCAAATTAGTAGAATCAGGAATGCAAAAGGGAGATAACAACAAACACCATGGAAGTCCAGGAAATCATCAGAGACTACTTTGAGAACCTATATTCAAATAAATTTGAAAATCTAAAAGAAATGGACAGATTTCTAGATACATATGATCATCCAAAACTGAACCAAGAGGAAATTAATCACCTGAATAGACCTATAACACAAAATGAAATTGAAGCAGCAATCAAGAGTCTCCCCAAAAAGAAAAGTCCAGGACCTGATGGATTCTCTGCTGAATTCTATCAGACCTTTAAAGAAGAACTGATACCAACCCTCCTTAAACTGTTCCATGAAATAGAAAGGGAAGGAAAACTGCCAAACACATTTTATGAAGCCAGTATTACACTTATCCCAAAACCAGGCAAAGACACCTCCAAAAAGGAGAACTATAGGCCAATCTCCTTAATGAACATTGATGCAAAAATCCTCAACAAAATAATGGCAAACGAATTCAGCAACACATCAAAAAGATTATTCACCACGACCAGTAGGCTTCATCCCAGGGATGCAGGGGTGGTTCAACATACGAAAATCAATAAACGTAATAAACCACATTAACAGAAGCAAAGACAAAAACCACTTGATCATCTCAATAGATGCAGAAAAAGCCTTTGATAAGATCCAACATCATTTCATGATAAAAGCTCTAAGAAAACTAGGAATAGAAGGAAAGTTCCTCAACATTATAAAAGCTATATATGACAAACCTACAGCCAGCATTATACTTAACGGAGAAAAATTAAACCATTCCCTCTAAAATCAGGAACCAGACAAGGATGCCCACTATCTCCACTCCTATTCAACATAGTACTGGAATTCCTAGCCAGAGCAATTAGGCAAGAAGAAGGAATAAAAGGAATACAAATA